ACATCAACCTCTTACGCGTAAGCTGTCAGCTTCCGAGTGGAGGAAGCAAGGATAGTATGTATACAGGTAATGGTGCTGGTGTCGCATTACGCTATGGAACTATACCACCAGGATCAGGAGTGGTACGTGTGACGTAACGCTACAGACTGTTGTATCCACACGTCCGCCTAAGTGGAACTATTATGCCTATTCGAATCTGTGTCGGAGAAAAGGATGTCGGCTTGACAGTTCAATATATACTCCACGACATGCTTTGATTGGTTCGTTATTGTTTTTGAAGAACTTACCAATTTCGGGGTTTTCAACAAATGTTGCAGGGGTTTAGATGATCTACATGACAAGGATGGTGTCATTGTATTAAATGCAAACTTATGATGTCTTTAAACAGACCGCGCATCTTCTTGTTGTGTCATCCTAACATACTAATAGTTATTGTCTAGAGAAATGACCATACAGTGGACTATCGTCACCTTTTATCCGGTTTCTGTGAAAAAGTTAACTCAAATGCATGGGATAGCGTCTATAAGTTACCAGAATAAACATGTAAACAAATTATTTTTTGTGACTATAGATCTGCTATTGAGAAAGCGTACGGAACTGATTATTGCCTCTGGACACAAAAAGAAAATTATTACATCATATATCATGTAAGTGTGATGCAATGAATCCACACATGTTATACATTTTAATATCACCCAATTTGATGTCAGAACTAAATAAAAGGTGCAGCATTGCAAGGTCGCATCAAAGACACCGAGTCAAAATTAACGACGTTGCAAATTTGACGTTGGCAAGGGAAAAGATAGATTTCGTGAATTTTGCAAACATTTTTGATTGAGTGAAAACACGTTACTTCAATCCTTTTCTTTTCCTTATGACAATCAGGTAAACCGCCCAAAGATTTTTAAGGTCAGCAGAGCATAAAATGTAAGTCAGACAAGCGTATCCACATTTTGGTAAACATAGTGCACGGGTAAAACGTGGAATTCTGAACTGCTGAAGTAGCATTTCCATCACCAGAAAATGGTCAACTCCATTGTTTCTTCAATAGGCATAACGCCTCTGTTATAAACATCGTCTCGTAGTTAGTGTTCTGTATAATATCATAGTCTTGACAAGCAATACACGCTCCATGTATCATTGATATATTTCCCTACTTAGAAGGTAGGAGTGGACAGAGTTGTCTCCGAAGATTGATATTCCTCTTTCCCACCCTAAATTCAGGCGATCGTTCCATTTCTCTGTCATTTATTTCCCAAATCAAATGAATAAAAAGGATATGACAAAAGTGTGCGCTTTATCCATATTTTATCATTATGAATAACTGCACTTTACTGGACATTTAAGCTACAGTTAGGTACACACACACATAGCTTCCGGTCATTTCTTTTTGTGAAATACATATCATTTCAATAGTTCTGGTCATGAAGCTTTTATTTTTAAAACTTGTTACCAAATTGTTAACAATTACGCTTATAAAATAGTGGTGAATTTTGTAACTATTCTGACAAAACAGCAGTCATAGTAGGCGGCTCAGTGCCTTATTATGTAGGTATAATTGCACTCCCACTAATTTCAATCGCCTCGTTCATCTAAATATTTATATAAAATAAACGTATTTGGTAATTAACATTCTAGTTAATTTTACTTTGTTTTATTGAAACAGACCTACATGTAGTGTAAATGTCTGTAGATACTATCGGGGTATCTAATTCTCATTCTGAAATATGATAGGTGTTCTTCTGTTTTGAAGAAAAGGCTATATTAGCAATGATCAATTCAAGGAAATGTTAGAACATTGCATCGTTTACTCATGCAAACTTTACAGTAAGAAATGAATACCTGGCGACACACTGAATTCTTACCGCCGCACGTTTTACGCAATTACCGTGTAATATTGCTGTCCGCAGAGTCGTTAAAGTGTCTGCCCAATAACAGAGATGTTTGGACAATTTACTTTACTGCAAAGTTGTAAGTGAAGCATGTGTACATATGTAACATTAAGATCCCACGCTGCCATTTTGTCTCCTTAATTATTATTGCCTATTATTCATGTGTAACAGAAGTAAGTGGACGGTGGGACACATGTCGCTGTAATCCCACAAATCGCCCTGTATGCCTTACATTATAAACAGGTAGGTGAATTGGGATGACGAAGGGCATTCTTCAAGCCTTTGTGAGCATTGTTGATGTCGCGTAAATTGTTTAAATTACGAGTTTATTCACGTAAAGTAAGTTGGTGAAAAGTGCAAAGTTTATATTAATTCCGGCAGTTTAACCACAAAGACTCATAAAACCAAATGCTGCAGAAAAACATGTGAATGGCGACGAGTAGAACCCTGCCAGTGTATCCCTATCACAACACCGGGTGGTCTGAACCAGCTGGCACCCAAACATCCTTGTATACTTTGTAAAATTTATGTTCAACTTTTTTGTGAATGAATATACCTTGCTTTGTTATAGATGAGAAGGACCTATGGGTTTTGACTATATTAGCGCGGACCTGGTGCGGTGTACCTATCACTGACAACCTACAGTAAGGTGTGGCTTACACAGTGCGCGAACACAACACTGGAGCTGTAAACACTCGATTGAGATATTCACGCGTCTCGAAGGCTTCGAGCCGCGACACACTTTTAACCGTATATTTGCTAGTCTTTGTAACAAAAGGCAGATGTCATCCCGGGTGTAAACTGTACTGAAGTATTTCAAACGGCCCAGTGTCGACTTTCATTCTGTTAACCATATCAAAGGGTAGGTAACAATGGGTAGGTTAAAGGGTCCTCAATAAAACACACTTGGGTTGACATCGGTATGGCGGTAAATATGATATAAGGCGGCCCTCTCCTGTCAGATAGCTTTACGGTTTCATATTTAAATTTGAACGAACGACAACTAACATCTAAAACCGTTTTGTTAATGACATGATTACCTAAGACGAAAAGATGAACCCTTCAAACGAAGCAATACATTTTGAAATTATAAATTGAAGTGCAAAGTGATTATCTTAATAAAGAACAAGACAGATTGAACAATTATTTCCATTCAAATAACTTTGGAATTTGATACCCTAAGGTGACTTCAAAAGGCATACAAACATAACATCTAAAATAATGTTCGTTCTTATCTACAGCTGTAAAACTCTAAAAGAGGTCACGATCACGCAAATAAAGCTCTCATATTTCATTAATGGACATAACGATTTAGAAGGCATGGCCACGCAATTTTACAAAACAGATCCGCAACAGAAAAGGAAATATTTTCCAACTATAGAATTGCATATGCAGCACAAATTACATCACAATGATTCCAGGAAATTATATTTCACAAAATAGAAAGACATAAAGATCTGCATTGCATCAACTACACATACACTTTAGTCTGGTGGCACAGTGGATAACGCACTCGCCTTTCACCAAGGCGACCAGGGTTCGATTCCCGATAGAACGTGAAAACATATTGGGTCACCTGCCAGACCACGTGGATTTTCTCCGGAAACAGTACTCCGGTGTCCTCCCACATTAAGATCCCACGCGCGCGAACATTCGTGTTAACAGGAGTGATTAGTATAAATTGAAATAACTTGATACATATTTTTTTCAGGATAAAGAAAGCTTTTATTTTATAAATAATTTGTAGTGTACTGTAAGTTAAAGGAACACTCCATTAATCTATTATAACAAAGACACGTTAGAATTTGGGGAGTGAACTCAAACTATGAAAAATACAATAGAAAAGACACCAGAACAACAGGAAAGATAGAATTCTTGAAAGAACAGCTGTAACTTTACAAAGGTATTTCTCAGGTTGATTTATATTTTAAGAAGACAACATATAGCACTAAACTTGACATAAACAATCGAAACTTCCATCTAGGACTGCCTTGAACTGAAATAACAAACATCAGAAATGAACAGTTCTATTTAGACCTTGTACCAGTTGCCTCCGACATCAGGAGTCAAACCCGACCAATCAGCACAACCGGGCTCAAATGCTGTCTAACGCTCTAGACTTCTTTAGCCGGGAAGACATCATAACCCCACAAAGAAATCAGAGTTCACATCTAAGAAACTGTTCGCACGCTCAAATTCTGATTCTAGGCTAAAACTATTTTTTTCCGTTCCGGTGATAATAAAATTTCATATTTTGTCTATGACTTGGAAGAATTTTTGGGAGCGTTTAAGCCGAATACTGTTTCCAATTTACCTTTTTACCGTGTCACATCATATAAGCGTGTTACAAGAAAAAGAACAGAACCCGTGCTCGGACATTTGAATAGTTTCATGAATACAGGTCAAGATTCTAAAGAGGGTACGTCTGTCATGTACGTCACATGTTAACTGCTACATCACCTGCCGAGGCATACAAATCACCAACGAACTACAATGCCTTTAAGCTTCAAATATTGAAATAGCATTGAAGGAAATCCTGTTATGACGACGACGATGTAATATTCTTTCAAAAAGAGGCCAATCACGCAGACTACATTGACTTAAGTAGGTCATTAATCAGCACATACAGTGCTCAGATCTTTAAAAGGTATCTGGAATAAAACAACGGTCACTTAGGTTGTTACTTCTAAGAAAGGAAAAAATGTCCTATTGCGGGTTATTACACAGATCACGGTAGCGATGTACGTCTTATTGTGGGTAAGTGTCAGAGTTTGGTAGGAAGATGTTATATACAAAATATTTTAAGTGTGACCTTAGTTTAACACGAGGAACGGTGGTAGAAGTCAAACATTGAGTGAGCACTTGTGGAATTGTGATTTATGTTATAAAACATGTAATATCGAACAGTCTATGAGGACAACAACCACAAAACATTTGGTTGTCAACATCTTCTTAGCAACAGCAGCTCAAGGGAGACTACTTCTGCTATAAATTGTATGTACATCTCAATATGTTCTAATCCGTCAAGTCTTTTTCTCACCAACATATTGCATAAAATTTCGTTTCTTTAAAGTAAGATAAGTGCGAATAAAAAAAGTCAACACGTTATATTTTAGATGGATTTTAATGACTGAAGTATTTATTCATAAAATAAACAAACAGTTTATGGGATAAAGTGAGAAATTCTGTAGATAACAGACAATTTTATCGCCATCATGCAAACCGATAGATATCAGCAAACAGCAGAACTGCCTTTATCATTTTATAGCAAATTGTCAGAAATAAACTAGATTAAAAAAGAATCAATATTAAATAGCACATATTTGCGAACTTCTACTGGGAACTGCACTTTTTGCAAATCAAAATATTTCAATGCAAACAAACCCGAGAAATAAAATTAACAGTAAATTAAAATTTGAATTAAAAATATTCTTGCTCTAATTTGATCATGTGTTTTCACCGTCAGTACTCGTTCGTTGCATGCTAAGTGTATAACATATATATCACAAATATTTATGGTGGAAAGTCTGACGATATTAAATGTGGCCCAAACTAATGAAACAAAATGCAATACAAAGCAAAAGTATAAATGCATCTAAGAGGAAAGTAGAGGATAATAGCAGAACTACACGCAAAGCATATCAGCCAAAACGTGTATTATACCGACAGTTAACGGCGTTGTATATGACAATACTTGTATTTTGACTTTATGTCGATTTGTTCATAATATAACTTTGAAAACAACATCATGTTGCATGAAACAAATAGAAATATACCCAAACAATTCCCTTTAGTTGAAATACGGTCTCAGTTACATTTTATAAATGTTAATCAAAGTGAACGGAAACAAACTATAAATAAATTGAATTTGAAGCAAAAGACATCCAAGTATTGCAAATAAGATCAATGTTTCTTTTGTTACTAATGCTTAATTTTACCATCAGTCACAAACACAAAATAAATATATTTTGTATCAACGTAGTGAAGGTAAATTATTTACATATTAATAATAATAAAACTAACACCACTTTGATTATACGTATTATAATTCAATGCATAATTCAGTACTAAACTATCAGGAGTATATATGTAACTGAAAACTAAACGTATACAACGTGTCTATATATAAATAGAAGTCGTATTCTATCCTAAATATCGAACTAATTCTTTGATTTGTAGTATATGGAATTATTTCACAGAATAATCTGTTCATCTAACAATTCAATTCTAGAGATCTCGCAGAATATTTGGGGGAAGTCTGGCATCGAAAACAAACAATTCCGGCCTTGTGATAATTGCGTCAATAACTGCCAACATATTTAACTTATTTTAAATAACAGTATACAAACAATAAGGCAAGTAGACAGACTTGATTAGGTTGTTTATATCTTTATTGCGGCAAATACATTGCAGCTGTATTATTGTTTTCCGTTAGATATTGATTTATATACAAATTTTGAACTGTCTTTAGAAATATTTCTGTATATATTTTTTAAGTACCAATATATTTTTTAAGAAAACTACTTCATAGATGATACTCAAAGCAACAAATAATGAAAACAGCATATTAGATAGATATGTCACTGCATAGAATAAACTGGTATATACCGCAAGTGTTGTCAAAAGATAACATTTAGATCACGCATTGTCAGAAGTCAAATAGTTTGAGGTTAAAATGCGAAAAATCAATTCGACCTTTGACCTTTTATCGTAATTTGACTTCTGGTCTTTTAATGCTATCTTGATCTGTCGGCAAGTTTCCGGACAGACAATATTGCATTGATTATTTTTGCAATGATAATTGTCCTCGTGAAGCATTTGCCTGTGTTGTCAACCGTTTTGTCTATCAATAACTATCTAAAATATACCTTAATGTTGTTAATCTATTTATTCTATTTACGGTATTTTATTTACTTAAAAATGAGTCTGATTTTTTGAATGGATTTTGTTTGAATAAAATGCTTTGATTCTGAACTTTGTACAGAAACTACTTAAAAATAGAAAATAACGGAATCCTGTAAATTATCACTAATTCTAGTTAACTCATGTTTATTAAAATATATAACTAAAATACAGTAAGCGAAATATACAATTAGGACCACGAACCGTCACTTTCCAACCATATCAGGCAAACCAGATATTGTACACACCATGTCAATCGTTTTCCTGCTATCATCACCATTTAAATCTATAAAACATCAAGAGAGAATTAATAAAACATTAACAAAGTATTTCATATTAGCTATTTAAGAGATCGGACATTATATAACCTGAGCACAAACACATATATCAAAATGTACAAACGTAGTTTATATTGTTGATTCCTACTTCATATAAAGATATAATCACAAATATATATATAATCCTTATGTACATAATTTCTTTACATAATTTCATTGAATCATTTAAATGCCAGTCCACAGTAGGTGTAAGATGTACCAAACAGACGGGTAAAGTGACTGGAATGGCCCCACGTGACTTTCCGTATGAGGAGTCACACTGAGTAAGCAGCAATTCCTCTCCTGTAGGACAAAGATGAGTCAATGATTGTTTTCCATCGTGAGTGTACATCATAGACACCTATTTAGTAATTAACAAAATGACGTATATAAACCTAAATGAAACTTTGTTTTCTAATTACGTATATGCAAGTTTATTCTTCTGTGAATTTTAAATATTTTAAATATGTACTTGTTTTATCACTGAACCCCTTGTTTTAAATATATATTATGTTTACAACTTTGTATATAGAATTTGATTTCAGAATGCCATGATAAAGAGTATTTACAAATACATTCTACAGAACTGAACAGTCATAGTTAAGAAGAAGCATGCAAAAGTCATTATCACAAATATGTTAGTTAGGTTTGTCAATTTTCTAAACATCATGATATTGTCGTTGCAATAGGGAATAATGATAAAAAATAATGTGGTGAACCTAATTAAAACATATGCAAATTATTTAAGTAGCGTTACCACGAAAATCAAAAATACAATCTTAAATATCTGACAGTCTTTGTAACAAATGTGTGCTGAACACGTTAGCTTGGTTGACTGCTAAGAAAGAGTGTCTTTTGCATCACAAAATTACGAGGAATTAAAAAAATGCATATTGTTTCTGACGGAGAATTGTGATGTGGTACTCTGAAAACAATATAATTAGGTTTGATCAATTTACAGAATATTTTACTAACATTGGTGTAACGAGTGCATCTATTTAATAACATGCTATGACCATGAATTTACACAAAGGCACGCAGGACGATAGGGTAATGCCACAGAACTTCGACACGGATACACCACGAACATTGAATTGTCCAACAACGAAAAACGATGATGCAAAAATCCCCCTTATGATATACACGATACAATTCTATCATAAATAAATCTCGTCAGCCTACTGCCCTCTTCAGTTCGATTACAATACGGGCTCATGTTTATATATCAAAGGCCATCAGTGGATGTTACAAGTTTTCCAATTTGAATCAATGGTTGATTTTGTATAAGCGTGAAAAAAGATAAATTTATATCAATCAAGCCTCGGTTGCTTTGCTGCTCAATGAGTCATACACATACGTGTTTCATGTATGAAAATGTGTTACCTGTCTATAAATGGAGTAAACGTTTTTGAGAATGATCTAAAACAGAGCAAAACAGTTAACACGTATTTGCTTATATACCTTACAATGATACTGACATGAAAGATAAATATAATGTATGTACAATATATACATAAAGTGTAACTCTACAATAATCACACAACAAAATAAACGACAGATGTATAGTTAAGTTATTATCGTAAAATATCGGAATAAATTTAAGGTATCTTTTCTAAATTAGAACTAATCTTTGAACACATTAGAATAAACGATTTAAAAACTTATTATGGCAGGGAAAGAAAGATCAAATAATCGTTATCTCCAAAATCATCAAGTTCCTTCTATAAGGTACGAAAAATCAGTCGAAACATTCTATCTACAAAACATTCCTTTTTTATCATCTTCAATTGTGGCAATGGTTTCTTAGATTTTTAAAACCCGTACAGCTGCTTATTTCCGCGGCGAAGGTTTCAATTTCGCGAATGCATGATAATTCACAAATGCAACTTTTCGGAAGAAAGAAAATATGATAAACACAAATCTTATTTATTGAACGTTATTTCTGAATAATACATAGAAGGTCGATGTCGAATCGGTCTCCATGTTCGGAATCGATAAGAATATTATAAAGATACTAAATCGAAACCAACAAACCTATCTTAAGACAAAGAAACAAACTGAATCCAACAGAGGTCTTACTGTACAAGTGTTTGGTATTCCAGAGATTCACAAATAATCAAATTATTGCGAATAATATTTGGATACCATTCGCGAAATTTCATAACAACGGAAATTAGCAACTATACAGTTACGTTTCGTTTCATGTAGGAAAGTATTTCATACATTTTAAAGTTTTTACTCATAATGATTTTTGTAACATTCAAATCTAATTCGTTTTCACTTGTGAAGGATGATACTTAATTCATATTTAATTAAAGATGTTTAAATCAGTGGCACATAAATTGGAAGTGGAGCATGGAACAAAACTTGTTATTACATCACTTGAGAATGGTTTTGGAGAAACAAGCAGCTAGCTAGAGGAGTCCAGTGATCCATTAGTTGAAGGGAACACGTTGTCTAAGACATGTTCAGCGCCTCGCGGTAACGGCATGCCAGTACTGGACCCAGAGCTGGTGCTCAGATTGTCATTGCTTCCGACAAATACATCTGCAAGATCGAAGAAAAAAAAAATCTCAATTGATCTAAACAACAAATTAACAGTTTTAATAACAACAAATACATCAACTAAAACATAACGACAATGACTATATATAAAGTAATCGTTCCAGATATAAATAACAACGTCACCAAACCCCAATGAAATTCAGCAAAAATACATATATATATCATGAGGATTCAGTTATTAAAGTCAAGAGTAATTCTAACTTATTATAAAATATTCAAACTGTCTGCCGCTTCGAACAAAATAATTAAATGAATGACTTATCGTGAAATCTGAAAGATATTAAATCGAGCACGTATAATTAAATACCATACCAGTTAATATCCTGACATAAGTAATCTGACGAGAACACAGAAGTGTTAGCGTTAACGGAAACCATGACTTGCTAATTCAAATGTAAGCTAATAATAGTATAATGGTATATAACAAATAACAGCTCATTTACGACTTAAATTGCGATAACCGATGAGGTGAAATCTGACATGGCCAATGAAGCAGAGTGTCAAACCTCCATCTGTGAACCTATAGGACATTTTTATAACACGTACTGACCTTCTATTAAACATTTCTAGCTCGCTGACGGCTTGAACACGAGAGCATGGAAATAGTCTGACAACTCGTTGTTTACAAATAGTAACAGAATAGTGGGAGTGAGTTTATTAAAAAGGCGATTCATTTAAACTTATTCGATTTTGTCCACCTCAGTGCATCGCATCATATGCCCGACTTGCATATGGCTTGCTGTCATGCCAGATTTCTTTTCATACGTGATCAAGGTCAACATTCAATTACTTTAAAAATGTAATTTTTGTGTGACAATTGTACCATTAGGTGTCAAAGTTGGAAAATAAACTGTTGAAATAGTGATATGTGAACGCCATTCTGACTGAGTTCTTCGTCTCCTACCTGTCGGGTTAGCCAGTGCTGTGCCTTATTAAAATTGTAATTGCACAAGACACTTGATTTTGTAAGCATAATTCTGTAATACGTTATGTCATAATCACGTACAACAAGAGATCAGGTCGTTTATCACGCAGGTATAATTTAAAGAAATTATAATCAGTTTCACTTACTCTACAGAAGTTTATTGAACAGAATATCAAAGTCAGTAGTTCCCTAAGTTTTTTGTTTTGTTTGAAATACCTTGATAGAAATAACAAAGAATCAAAAAATATTTTTTAAAAAGTGTTCTAACTTACTGTTCCACCTTTACTTGAAAACCATTGAACAATGACAAATGCAATAAATTGGTTTGCAATATCCATCTACCTGGGTGGAGGTTCCTTATAATACGTCTAAAAACGCCAGTTAATTGTTACATTAAAAACCAGATGTAATGTCTGTAGCACACACGAAGGTTATTATTTCAATTCCTAAGGCGTTTATTTAATATTACAACGAACTTCGGAAACATGGCGTAACAGAATAGAACAACACGCACTTTGAATGATCCAGGTGGCTGGTTTGCGTACTGCTATTTAATTTATTTTGTTTTAAATCTTATTAGATCCATTTTAGAATTCCGTAAACCTTGTTTGTAATCAATGACATTCTTCTGTCAATATTCCCATTAAACACGAGTTAATTGACAGCTCAATCAGTTAGATCTGCTTACGTCACAAACAATTCAAAATGCATCATTCGTTTTAAAACATGTCAAGACACATGAATTGAATTTTGGTTCTGCGAACAGAGTTGCTATGGAAACATAGTTATAATAGTATTGCTGCTTTTGTTCCTCACTTTAAAAAATGAAATGACTGAAACTAGTGACATCTGACTATGTGAGCTTAGAGACACGAACAAGTGATATGAAAAAATGTCAAATGACTTTATATGGAGATATCATTGCTGATTATGAAGACATCAAAATAAAATGAAATGAAAACGGCAAGTATCTTCAAGATTATATAGAATATTACATTACGTTCAAATATATGTCTAGCATACTTATTATCAATACCAAGTTATAGTCTCAGATTAAAAAAATATCACTAAACACTATCTTACATCTTTCATGGCGGTATTATGGGGTTGTTTTTTCACTCTATCCTAGCAAACTAATAACGATCTATAAAGGTCCCTCACAAATCCATCTTAAAGGCTTTCTTTTGTCATTTGTAGAGACTATTTTGATGGAAAATCCATTAACCATTGAGGATTGGGAAGATCTAGACAACAGAAAAACATAAATTACTCGGCACATGAAACAAAATGAAATTCGGATAGATAGCCGAGTGCTGGCTGGTAATTCACCCGGGGTATAAAGACAATCACAAGCGGCGTGTAATATTTGACGACAGAGTATGGAGCTCGTCTAATTCAGGAGTGTCATACCATCATTAACATGGCCTTTGACAACAGACAGCCAGATGTGACCTTATAATTATAGGTAGAAATTGGGTCTTAAGGTCCCTGGCATTCTATTTAATACCCACCATAAATCTATCCAAACGCTAAAACATATATTGCAACTTGTTTTAATATCTGCCTCTGTCACAGGTGTAGTCTTCAGTTTTATGATTATTAAAGCAAACATATAAATGAGAATCCATCTTTGACAAGATCAGCTATCAAGTTATTAACCCGTGGCCATGGATTTGCTACCCAATTCGTGACTTCTCCAACAAAACAACGACACGGTGATACTTGAAGATTAAGTAACAGTAATTACGGGATGAACATAAAACCCTTACTTCCAGATCTTACCCGTGGTGATGGAATTAGCCTTTCATGTAAGGATAAGTGTAATTAGTTTTCTTTGGTCACAGTAACAGGGGGAGTTTTCTCAGATTGGGGATTAATGAAAATGAATACACATTAGTTGTAAATACCCTGGGAACGTGACTTGGCTCAAAGCGATATGGTATACTAAGTATAGCTAGGCTCTGTTTTCATTATCTTATCTATAAATACAATCTAAGGGCAATTTTTCGGAATTGCAATCTGAGAGAGCAAATTACCAACGACATGTAAATTGTACATGAAGTATCAGTCCCACTTTGCCACTTTGCTTCTTTCTGATAAAAAAGATGATAGGTACTATTTTTGCTCTACATGTATTACATGTTGGACTGATTTTATTATGGTCTTTAAAAAAAATATTCATTTTGTTGTACTCTATGGACACGTACTGGACTAGCTTGTTACAACAAAGTAAAAATTGATATGTACTATTGCTTTAACATGCAAATGTCTACTTTGTTTGTGTTGCTTTACTATGTACCTAATGCACTGTATTGCTTTACTATGGACCTGATGCACTGTATTGCTTTGCTATGTACCTAATGCCCTGTATTGACTTACTATGTAACTTATGCACTGTATTGCTTTGCCATGTACCTAATGCACTGTATAGCTTTGCTATGTACCTAACGCCCTGTATTGACTTACTATGTACCTAATGCGCTGTATTGCTTTACTATGTACCTGATGCACTGTATTGCTTTGCTATGTACCTAATGCACTGTATTGCTTTACTATGGACCTGATGCACTGTATTGCTTTGCTATGTACCTAATGCCCTGTATTGACTTACTATGTACCTAATGCACTGTATTGCTTTGCCATGTACCTAATGCACTGTATAGCTTTACTATGTACCTTATGCACTGTATTGCTTTGCCATGTACCTAATGCACTGTATTGCTTTACTCTGTACCTAATACACTGTATTGCTTTACTATTTACCTTATGCACTGTATTGCTTTGCCATTTACCTAATTCACTGTATTTCTTTACTATGTACCTCATGTTTGACCTGGTGTTCTTTTTTTTTTTTTTTGTTACTTTATGCACTGTATTGCCTTGCCATGTACCTAATGCACTGGATGGCTTTACCATGTACCTAATGCGCTGTATTGCTTTACTACGTACCTGATGCACTGTATTGCTTTCCTATGTACCTAATGCCCTGCATTGCCTTACTATGTACCTAAGGCACTGTATTGCTTTACCATGTACCTAATGCGCTGTATTGCTTTGATATGTACCTTATGCGCTGTATTGCTTTACTATGTACCTAATGCACTGTATTGCTTTACTATGTACCTAATGTTTGACTTGATGTACTATGTTGCTTTACTATGTAACAGATGTACTATGTTGCTTTACTATGTACCTAATGCATTGTATTGCTTTACTATGTACCTAATGCTTGACAAGATGTACTATGTTGCTTAACTATGTACCTAATGCAATGTATTGCTTTACTATGTACTTAATGCACTGTACTGCTTTACTATGTACCTGATGCACTGTATTGCTTCGCCATGTACCTAATGCACTGGATTGCTTTGATATGTACCTTATGCACTGTATTGCTTTGCAATGTACCTAATGCTTGACTTGATCTACTATGTTGCTTAACTATGTACCTAATGCAATGTATTGCTTTACTATGTTCCTAATGCATTGTATTGCTTTACTACGTACCTAATGCTTGACAAGATGTCCTATGTTGCTTTACTATGGACCTAACGCATTGTATTTCTTTACTATGTACCTAATGTTTGACTTAATGTACTATGTTGCTTTTCTATGTAACTGATGTAATGTGTTGCTTTACTATGTAACTAGTTTGCCATGTTGCTTTACTATGTTACTGATGTACGGTGTTGCTTTACTATGAAACTGATGTGCTATGTTGCTTTACTATGGACCTAACGCATTGTATTTCTTTACTATGTACCTAATGATTGACTTGATGTACTATGTTGCTTTAAAATGTAACTGATGGACGGTGTTGCTTTACTATGAAACTGATGTGCTATGTTGCTTTACTATGGACCTAACGCATTGTATTTCTTTACTATGTACCTAATGCACTGGATTGCTTTGATATGTACCTTATGCACTGTATTGCTTTCCTATGTACCTAATGTTTAACTTGATGTACTATGTTGCTTAACTATGTACCTAATGCAATGTATTGCTTTACTATGTATCAGATGTACTATGTTGCTTTACTATGTAACTGATGTAC